TATTGATTTTGGACATTACAGTGACAAAGAAGAAGAAAACATGAATAACTTTTATGCCGATAGCTTAAATGAAATAGCAGAGAGTATAGAAAAGAAGCAATTGCACTTTGTGTGTGACATGGTCAGCTGTAGCTTGTCTTGCTTTAAAAAAATAACGATATCGGAGCTTGAAAAAACTGTAAATAACCTAAAAAATAGAAGTACAAGTGACTCTGTTCTAAATATTAAGCTCGTCAAGGATTTATATTGTGTAATAGGTTTTCCGTTGTTATATTTGGTGAATGCGTCTTTAAGTAACGGAAAAATCCCTGATAAACTAAAAACAAGCATCATAGTGCCCATACCTAAAGTATCAAAACCGAAAACACCTGGTGATTTTCGACTAATTAACTTGCTGCCAGTAGTGGATAAAATCCTGAAAACGATAGTGTGTTGGCAGTTGAGAGACTACCTGGAGCGGAACTGCCTACCCTACAGTGGACAGTCTGGTTTCAGGAGCAAACACTCGTTGCGAATCTGTGTTGCAATATATGTGTGCAGTGTGGTGGAAAGACATTAATGAATCAAAACAAATTCTGAGTGTTTTTGTAGATTTTAAACGTGCATTTGAGACTATTGACAGGGACGTGCTTATTACAAAATTTAGTTTATATGGCATTAAAGACTCTGCACTAGAATGGATAAAGAACTTTTTATCTGATAGATCTTACCAGACTAAAATTAATAATAATGTTTCTAATCATTTGGATAGCAGATGGGGGGTACCGCAGGGAAGCGTGTTGGGCCCGCTTTTATTTATTATTTATATAAATGATAATTTATCAGATTTTCAAAAACTCCTTTGTTAACTTATTTGCTGATGACACGCTTATTTCAGTCTCTGGAAACCATTGCAAAGAAATAGCTCCCAAACTGAACACCGAAATACAGTATAATAATAAACTGAATAAACTGAATAAATAAACTGAAATTAAATAGCAGGTTAACTGTCAAAAAATTTATAAGCGGTATTCTGTGGATATACAGGGTAATAAAACTGAGTTTGTTTCCGAAATTAAATATTTTGGGGTGATCTTGGATCCACAACTATGCTTTAGTAATTATGTTGAATATCTATGTAAAGAAAATAGAGTTTTTTAACCGTGTATCGCGGTTTTTATCGCAGTGGACTAGGATATTAATGTATAATAGTATAATTTTGCCTCATTTGTCATTGCTTATATCTTGTACAAAAGAAGATTTAAATAAGTTACAGTTACAACAAAATAGGGTTATGAGAATAATCCTGAACTGTGATAGATATACTCATATAAAGAGTATGTTAGGCCAGCTTAATTGGCTAAATGTCGGGCAGTTCATTAGAGGAGCACGTTTAATGTTGGTTTATGGAATTGGTCACGATCACCAACCAGACTATTTAATTATGGTTGGAGAAAACGTCAAACTTTTATCAATATAATATACATTCCAATCAGCACTTCAATGTTTCTATGATAGAAACAACAAATTTACAGAAAACTCTATTCTACGATGATGCTTGTAATTTTAATGAACTGCCGGATAATATTGCCCAAGAGTGTTCAAGAAGAGACTTACGGGGTATTTGCGAAGTTTATAGTTTTGTTTATGCAAATTTTACTTGCTTATGTAAATAGCCAAGTGCTAAATAAATAAATAAATAAAAATGCTGACTGATATAAATGATATAGAAAAAATCCATGAAATAATACAAAGATAGCATGAAGGAAAAAGTAAACACCAGGTACCGATGAAACCGAACAAAGAATTAGAATGGTAAAAACAAAGAGTTGTTAGAGACAAGAATTTAAAAACTTGCCTTTATTATGGAAAAGGCACTTTTAGGGACAATGCCTTGTTTATAAAGGAAACACTAAATCAGATCATTAATATTTATGAGGTCGTTGTTTTTACTTCAGGATTCAGAAAATTTTATAACTTTTTGTAAGTTAAAAACAATGCATCTAAATATCATTACCACGAAAGCTTTCTGTATATTATTGGTCCAATCGAAGGACTTCAATTCAAACATTTATAAACCAATGTGAAATTTGTATTAGAACAAAGTACGACAGAAGCCCTTTAAAAATTGAATATAACATCTACCTTTTGTGATATTGATACTTATATTTTGTAAAAAAAAATTACTAACAACAATTGATATATTTTCTAAATATGCCCAATCTTATGCTGCCACAGGAATAGCAGTTAACCTGAGATACTTTTCTCGCCGTGGCGTACCAAAACAAATAAAACTAGACAAGGGAACATCATTTAATAATTCAGTTATCACCGAACTTTTGCATTTACATAGAACAAAAGTGCATTTTATTTCACCCAATTGACCCTCAATCTAACGGAATAATAGCAAGATTGCACTCAACTTTAGCAGAACATATTAATCAATTATCAATGGACATATTTCTTCCGATGACCCTATTGACATAAATTTGGATCAGTTGTTTTTACCAGATTAAATGAATGATTACTAACAAAATGCAAAAAATACAATATTCTGAAATTAACAAAATAATTGTTTAAAATGAAGAAAAAGTTGTAGACAAAATAACTGTAATTAGTTACAGTCCTCATTTGTTCGAATCCGGACCAGTTTATATTAAAAAACATAGGCGAAACTTCCTAAAAAATTTTCCAAGTCTGTAAAATTTGTTTTGTCAAAATAGAAGCAAACACGCTGTCACTGGTAATTCCTATGGTAAAATACTGGTGGATAATATAAAAAAATGTTCAGAAACTTATAGTTTTTATTAAGTTAGTTTTTACTCTTCGTATACTTCGAATATTATGATGTTTATTTTAAGGTTCATTACTGTTAAGTTCGTATTACACTTGGCCTTCTCATCGGCTACTTTATTCTCGACGTAGGCGAACTCGAAGATAATTCCAAGAAAACTGAGCGACAACCCTGGATTGTTATCGATAAAAATTGGAGCTGCAAAAATGCGTGATTATACACACACGTTTATTCATTTTTAGGACCTTAACCCAATTGTTATTGAGATAAATAAATTATATCTAAAATCCCTAAATGTCAACGAAACTTTTAAGTACTCACGGCGAATACTCGCATGAAGCTGTAATGAGTTTAAAATTTTTAAAAATAACCCAGGAAAGAGTTGAAAATAAAATCAAAGAAATAATCCCCTAACCACAACGAATTTAAAGGGATTTAATAAATATGTTACTTTCATTCCTTAGAGCTATTAACGGTGATTTAGATGCTTTTGGTGGCGAAAAATTGATCAGTTAATAAAACAGCCAGTTATAATACTATATTAATAAGTTGAACAACACTCTTCGACAGATTGGTAAAAACAAACAATTGTTGCAGACAAGAATTAAATAAATTGCCTTTATTATGTAAAAAGCATTGTTAGGAATAATGCCTTGTGTACAATGGAAAAACTAAATCAGATCACTAATATTTATGAGGTCGTTGTTTCAATACTTCAGGATTCAGAAAATTCTATGACTTTTTGTAAGTTAAAAACAATGCATCCAAGTATCATTACTATATATAAGTATTAGCTCGTTTACAAAAAATGTAGGTGTAGAAAGTATGTAAATTAGTAAAATAAAATTACGTACTTGTTAGATGTTCGTTATTCGAAAACTTTGGACTTTTCCATCTCTATTCCATACCAATATATTCAAATTTCTCTTAAAAAATAATTTACACTACGTATACCAAAATCATACCTGCCAACAAGATTTTGATCAAAGCAAAGTAAATAACCCATGTGCAGTAAGCCTTTTGTCCTCCTTACAAGACGTAACGACGTGCGAACAAATCGAAACCATATTGAATCGTCCATTGAGTATTGGCACTTCCGAAGGAACAAATTTTTAATATAAAATGCCTAATTCAAATTGAAGAATAAAAACTGTTTGGAACCTCATGATTGAAGTTCCATTTGAATGAGAGTTAATACTTAAAAATACTACAACGACACATCGAGGAAGCCAAAAGCAAAATAAACAGCACGTTTAAGCCAATTCTGTTTCCCGATATTAATTAATTACATACATTAAATCAAAAAACTTCATCTCGACGATAGTCTAGAATTAAAAGATCGTGTAAATATGAACAAGCCAATTACCCAACTTGAAGAAATCTTGAAGAAACTCTCCATGTGGACAGTTATGATCTACTCTTTGCTGATGATTTTCGGTGTCTACCTGATCTACAGAAAATGCTGTCCGATGTTAAGAAGCAAGAAGACTAGCAAGCAGGGCCAAAACAGTTTTGTCGTGTCGAATAGGTATGCTAAATATTTTAGAAATTTAGATTGTAAAACTTATTATCTAGATAAAAGTTTTAAATATTATCATTTTAGTAACAGACAGTACCAAAACTGACTTTAAAGTCGTACTTGTCTCATCTTTAGTGACGGTTCACTAGCGCATGCACCATCCGGCCGAATTGATTAGCCACAAGGACGAGATGCGAGACCATATAGTGCCTCACAACTGTTATCTAGAGAAGCTGAAATTGTAAAATATTTTTTTCTATCTGTATGTATTCCAACTATTCGTATCCATAAAAAATTTAACCAAAAATTAAAATTCTTATTTGGATTAAATCTAGCCTGCAAAACCTAAATGACTAAATGAAAAATGTTGATTGGTATAATTTCATCCGTTACTGTATCAACATTTATGAGTTAAAAAGAAAGCTGACTATGCCTGGATATCACGTGAAAAACGTTATCATTGCAACATTTTCAAAATTTAAAAATCCAAGACGTTTCCGTTTGTGCCTTCTTTTACGAAAGGCGCAACGCGCTGGTTTTATTAATAATATTTTTTTTGTCGTCATGCCATCACCCACACAAAAGCGTTCGGATTTTCCGCGTACCCGGAATATGATTAATACGAGTAAGTTTTAGGCGCGCACGTTTGTTCTTTTGTTTAGGAAACAAAACACGCCACAGGCGGTCCGATCATCGTCAATCTACCTACGATTTAGTTGGCTGTGATTCGTGTTTAAGCGTAGCCGCCTGCTAGATCTTATAGAGCCATCAATTCTGCGTTACATAAAGACCCAGACGTCTCGTAACGGGCAACATTAATCATTAAATCGACATTAATGGTAATTCTGCGCAAAATTTCGGGCACAAAGCCGTCGAGTCGGGATATCAATTTAACACTCGTCGTCGTAACGTGCGTTATTATTGACGACGGTTTGTTTATAATTGTCGACCAATCGAAAAATTCTAATTTGCTTCCTAGTCATCAAGGTGATTCGCGGTAACGAAAAAAAAACCAGTTCTCTCTAATTGTGACGAATATCGGTGAAATACTTGTGACATTATTGCAGTGGGGTGTTTTTCCGGGGTAAGTTCGTTTGAAAGTTTTTTAACAAAGTACAATTAGTTAAAAAAAAATACGGTGTGAAAATTGCACTTTATATTTTATAGACATCATCATATGACATGACATATTGACAAAACAACGTTTGTTTTGACTTTGAAATTTGGATATAAAGGCAGGTTTGTGCAAACATTTTGAGTAATAAAAATTAATACGCATATCTGGAAGAGTTGGATATTTTTTCCTTGAGGATATCGAATGATTCGGTTTAGCAGTATCGTCAACTATTTTAGAAAAGGCTTAAGAGCGCGTAATTTTATTGCATTGCCATTGCGTGAGCCACTTCATAACTACAAGATAAGTGTTATCCACCTCATACAATAAAATGTATTATTTAATCAATTTTTATTACTAAAAACTCTTGCGCTAATCAGCATTTACTGTTTGTTTGAACACATTATTGTAAGCAATAAGAGACCCTCTTTGTCAATCAAAAATTTTCCATACTTCCTGAATTCCTTGCAATAGTCCCTTGCTATTTTTAGACATACAATTGCTGTGATATAGCCGTTTCATCATTATCCCCAATATGTTTTCGATTGGATTGATGTTAGAACTGTTATACTTCGCCATGTCAAGTCCAAAGATGTTTATGGGACAGGACAGTTGTCTTGTTGGAAAATATAATTATTTTCCGGTTAAAGCTGTTCCACACTGGGAATTGCAATATTTCGGCATAACTGTGACCAACAAATCTTCCCTCAATACGTCATACCACTCCCATTCCTCTGACAGAATTCTAGTGTTTTTCGCGCTTTGGAGATGGTCATCCTCGACTATCCAAACGAGCGCCTGATCTTCTTGAATTGAACTGTTTCTTTGTCAGAATCCTTTTCCGTTTCAAACGTTTCTTCTTGTCTTCACTTTCTATTAATGGAAACAACAATTGTTCTGCTTACATTAAACTGTTGGTTTAAATAAAATAAAAAATGAACTCGTCTCTCAAATGCCGTTTACTACACTCATTGTCTAATATACTATTTTCTACTCCCTTCTGTAAAATATACATCTATCTAGGGTGCGGAAAGTGTCATTTTACCACTTTAATTTCGCTCCTTACGGATCCGAGTCACTTCGAACATTTCTGGGATATTAACGCACGAGTTTGGTAGCAATCTTTCGCAGATATTACCTTACTGCTTCAATTTTGACGTTTAGCAATTTTGATGTTTATCATATCGGCGAATATAGTCGTGTTGTTTTGCAAAAACTAACGGTCTTGGAAAAACTATATGATCCAAGACATTTCGTAAACTTTTTGAGTCAGGTAGTGCAGGTGGAATAAAGTGTGGGTTGACCTTCAGAACTTTTTCCTATAAAATCGAGGAAAGCAAATTTAAAAAATATATCTTTTAGCAGCCCCATCTCATTTATTCAGAAAGTAGACCCTGAAACTAGATTGACATGTTAAATATATAGTAACGATCCTATTCTAAAATTTTGAGCTACACGAAGAATTTCGCGACGAAATTTATTTTCAGTTTCGTTCCTCTTAAAGCCTAAGGCTCCCTTTGTAGAAGTGAAGTGAATAGCCTAGGTTTATTAATTAGTCTATCATAATCATGTAATGTTTTTACTATTTTGTTTAATACCACTTACATTCTTTGAAAATTTGATTTGCTATGAGTTTCCCATATAGAAAATGGTTATATATAATGCGAGACATAAAAAAGCTTTGCAGATCATGTCATTTTTATATTTTTAATTAAATTAAGCATAAATCCAGTAATTCACAGGTTTTTCGATTGATTTAATAAAATATGAAAATCAACTCTATCAAAACACTTTCCCACCATGATCTGTAAATGTGGTAGGATGGTATATGTGTGTATGTGGTGAATTGGTATACATTATTTCGCTTTAGAAGTTGGACAACTATTTAATAAACATCATAAACAGAAAAGTTAAGGTGAGAATTGTGGCGAAAAAACTGTTTAAAATGGCCTTTTTTTTACTTCATGAAAATTTTAATAAGTTAAACATTTAAACCTATAGATTGAAATCACCCTTTTATGCCAGCTTCTCATTTTTTTAACCTCCGACTGCTAAATATGCCGCTTTTTACAGGAAGTTTTGAAAAAGAATTTAAATACTGGTCACGACCTTTCTTTGGTAGATAATGTTATTACTGAAAAACTTTTTCAAATAACTCTGAACTCTATTTACCCTATATTACACACCGATACCAACATTTGTTTCCAATCTAGCGTGCGGGAAGCATCGCTATTCGTGTTGTTTTTCAAAAATTTATCCAGAAAAAGTTTAGCATGCATCACGTTTGGTTAGTTTTTAAGATACTCGCTACGCTCCGCTGTTGTCAAATAAACTCGTGATTCAAATGCCGTTTATAATAAAAGCATCTAACAGGCACGTTTAAAATCGCTGAAAACACCATAGAAAAAATAATAAAACTAATTCACAAAAAAATAAAAAAACTGGAGTCTAGAAGTTAAAATGACATAAAATTTATATGTGACAACCAGATAGAACGCATTAACGAACATAAAACAGCGTATAAAAATATAAGTACGGATTTTAATTATGCCTTTGATTTAAATTCAGAAATGCACAATTTTATCAAAATGCATCAAAATGTTGTAAACTAAACTTATTGAAAGCAATGAGATATTCGAATTTATTACTTCATGCCCAATCAAATTTAATTGGAACCCGTTGTTAAACCTAAATTTAAAAGCCCTACAATAACTGCAATTAAGAATTCAGGAAATTTATAGAGGTTTGAAGATTGTAATATTGTGTATTATTTATCATTCTATTATTTAATTTGCACATTCTCCATAGTAATAGAAAAACGTGCTTTTGCGCGTCGAAAATATTTCGCTTAGTGGGAGCAAGGAATTGTAAACAATTTTTTTTCGAAAACATGAGAATAACTTAGTATTCTTTTTTGATTTTTAAAAGTAAAAATGGTTATTAAATATTGTCTAAAAGTTTAAATTAAGTGGTTGTCAATGGTAATTTTATTCATTTGAGGAACCTCGCTATGTGCAAAGCGTTTAATTTTTCTATCATTGACTTAATTTCTATTCATTTAACCAACAACTTAAAATGCACTTAACAATTTATTTTTTTTAGGTCAAATGTAAACGGAAAAACCTCAGGCAGAGTCCAAATTACGACCCAGTGTACATAGTATGTGTACGTACGTGTGTATAGTATTTATTACTACTTAAGTCTATTTATTTTTTTATATTGTTTGTATACGAAAATGCATTCCATAGCTTTGATAGCTTGTATCGTATTAACTGTTACCGCGGTAAATGCAATGTTTAAAAATCACATGCACTACAAACCCTACCCCAGGCAGCAGTTCGATCTGTCCAGCCCTTGCCCGGACAACTTCGAATACAGGAGGGATGAAAACGGTGGTTTGATAGGTATCGTGAAAGTGGAACACACCGGACAAGAGAGAAAAATTCAACTAGACATCGAACTATCCGTAGGAAATGTCGTAGAGGTAATGCCTAGTAATGCACGGATATCCTCGCCTCTGTACAGAACGAGTAAACGGTCTCATTGAATTCAAAGTTATGAGAAAATGACAAACATAAAGATTGTTACGGTGCAAAATTTAAAATTATTTTAAAGTATACAGGGCGCCTCAAAAATTGAACACCCAATTTTTAATTTTTTTTGAATTCGCTTTGACATTCTTCACCTTTTACAATTAAGAATAACCTAAACCCAATAGTTTTTTTCAATATTTTAATTTAAAAAAAATAGTTTTCACACATTACGAGAGCGCTATTATTTGTCGATATTTGATATTAGCATTATTCGAAGAGGTCGTAAAAGATATATGCAACGGAATTTTCTGAACAGGAGAAATAAATTTGTTGAAACCTTAGATAAAGCAAGAATTATTAGCATTTTTTTATGAAAATAAGGGTCAAATTTCAAATTCACAGAAAAGGCAAGCAATAATAATACCTATTAGTACAAATTAACTTATTTTTAATTATGATAAGTCTTTTTCGTATATTTTGTTGGACGTTCCTTAGCATAAGCGGTGTTATTCGATACTATTTTCTGGTGTTGCAGGAATTCACAAACACACGATCTTTTACAAAAAGAAATCTAGTGGTGTTAGGTCAGTTGATCCAGTAGATCATCCAATGGAACCACCCATTTCGGCGGATAATTATTTTAAAATTATCCCACTTCTCGATGGTAATGTGGAGGAGCTCCATCTTGCTGAAACCACATTTGTTGGATTTCTTAAAGAAGTTGAGGTAAATCATTCTGGAAAATGTTTAATTGGTTCAAAAAAAGTATGCAATCCAATAACTTTAAACTATTTAGAGAATTTCTGGATTGCTCCTGCGTTGGTTCTTGTTGAGTTGAACTAACTGACGTTTCGCCAATCATGCTGTTGGCTTTTTCAACCCTTAACTGAAACTGGGTCGCCATTCTACTCTGCAGTTGCTTGAATATTGTTTAAGGGGGGTGGAGCTAAATGAGAAGCATAAACACCGTCTCGGATAACTGATTCCCATATTGGTGACCTGAGTCGCGGTAAAGATTGTTTGGTTGCTTATAGATTTCTATAGAATCTCGGATTTTCCGTTGGTCTAAGAATTGATTAGATACAAGAATTTTAATTTTATCCAATAAAATCTTATGTCCTGTTTCGTAACTGTGTTCGGCAACGGCTGATGAGTTTATTTGTCTTAGTTGTAAGGATCTTTCATGTTCATCGAGTCTAGTTGATATTTTTCGTTCAGTCTCTCCAATGTATTCTTTGCCGCATATGCATGGAATGCTGCACACTCCTGGCATCTCAAACGGAAGTGAATTTTATGATGGAATCCTCTATCTTTAATATTAAAATTATTAGAGAGAAGAGCAGAGGTAAGTAGTATTATTTCTGGGTTCAGTGACTGAGATAGTTTTACAGCTTGGTAAACAAGAGAGTTGATAACCGATGATTTTTGGGCCGGATGGTGAAAATGCATTAAGGTGTCGCTCTGTGCGCATAGGTTTTCTGTAAACAGAATGACGGTAAAACGTATATTAGGGAGTATAATGTCTAAGAAAATCTAGCAGGGAGTTTTGACCATGAGGCCAATTTTGGTTTCAGATGGAAGATGTCGAGAGCTTTCTCCTTAAAGGCTTCAATAATTATGTTCGTTATGGTGTTAAGGGAGAACCCATAGCTGTTTCCGAAGTTTGTTTAAAAATTTACCCGTTATATGAAAAATATCTACTAGACAAACAATTTTCAATTAAGATTGGTTTGATTCAAGATTTTCGGATTTTAATATATCTGAAATGATCTTGAGAGTTTTAGTAAAGAGGGATTCTACGTCGAAACTAACCAGAATATCCTGTGGATCTAATATAAAGCTTTTTAATATGTAAGATAAATTTGTGAAATGGTGTAACCGTTAAAAGAATAAATAAATAAATAAACATCTTCCGTCCATGAAAAACTAAATTCCGTTTCAGAGGCCAGGAGTTTACCGCATACCATGTATATGCGGCAAAGAATACATTGGAGAGACCGAACGAAAAATATCTATCAGGCTCAAAGAACATGAAATGAATGAATGAATGAAATGAATTAGAACTAAAAGTTCAGATTTTCAGGAAAATGATATATAATATTTACAAAGTACCTGCTATCATATATACCGAAAAATGACCATAAAACCTTAATTAATATTGTTGCGAGAATTTAAGTTCAATAAAGGGGAGGTATTTAAATCTAATTGAGATTGAACTGGATAACTCTATTAATTTTTTAGACTTAACTATTTATTACGAAAGTGCAAAACCAATTAGATTTTTGAATATATCATAAACCTTCACACTTGGACACAGTCATACATAACAGCTCAAATCACCCTTATACACACAAAATGGCTGCATTTAACTCTTCTTAATACGCCACTCCCAACAGCAAATTACAACAAAGAACTTAATATCATGAAACAAATTGCACTGAACAACGGCTACAATCCGTCCATTATAGATAAAATTATAAATAAAAAACAAATACAGACAACAGTAAACTCTATTTATCCGAAACCTAATACAGAACACGAACAGTTTAAAACAATTACATACATTGGAGAACCTAGTGAAAAAGTTTCAAAACATTTGTCAAAATGTGGTTTAAAAATAGCTTTCAGAACTAACAACACAATAGGAAAATGTTTAAAAAACAATAAACCGAAGCGTCCAAAATCCCAAACATCAGGTGCCTACAGGTTGAAATGTGGATCTTGTCCTAAAATTTATATTGGACAAACAGGTAGATCCTTCAAGAAACGTATTAACGAATATATAAAAGCGTTTAAAAATAATAGTCTAGATTCTAATTATGCTACACACTTAAACACAGAAAAACACATTTTTGACGACAATTTTGATATATTACATACAGCCACAAAAAGTAGAAAATTAAATTTATTGGAAGTCATGGAGATTAACAAAATGAGACATTGAAATGTATTGCTTAACGATCAATTAGATTTAAATACCTCTCCTTTATTGAACTTAAATTCTCGCAACAACAATGATTAAGGTTTTATTTTCATTTTTCGGTATATATAGTAGCAGGTAGTTTGTAAATATTACATTTGATAAAGACACGGTGTTGTCGAAACAAGTGTCATGTCAAAATATATAATTTCGTGAAAATCTGAACTTTTAGTTCTTATTTATTTTGATAAATGGATTTTCATCAAGTAAAAGCCTCTTCAGTTCAATTTTTAAAATTCGTGCATGTAATCAATTCTTCTACCAATGACAAATACGAGAATCCATAGAAATCTATAAGCAACCAAACAATGGGAATCAGTCATCCGAGAGGATGTTTATGCCCCTCATTTAGGTCCACCCACTCAAATAATATACAAGCAAGTACAGAGTAGAATGCGAGCCAGTTTTAGCTAAGCGCTGAAGAAGCCAACAGCATGATTGGCGAAACGTCAGCAAATTCGACTCAACAACAACCGACGGCAGGAGGAATCCAGAAATTTTGTAATTAATATTACAATACCCTGTGGAAGTTTATTTGAAAAATTGACTTTAAAATGTTTTATTCCACGCCGCATATGTTACCAATGGTTTTGGTTTTGCACTTCCCGTACCCGGAATGCATTAACTGTTGAATTAGAATGCATGTTACGAGGATTAACTGCACCATTAAGGCGAAAAGTAACATTGTCAGAAAACATTAATTTAGAGAACAAATTTTCATCGGCCTCTGTTGCTTCATTTATAACGGTGCAGAAGTTTAGCCTTTGTTCAAAACCACGGTCTAGAAGTTTTTGGTGTAGTTCCATATGGAATAGTGCTGAGATTAACAATAGATTGGGATGTATCATATAAGCTAGCTACTTGATAGCTTCTCATCTGGGGATTATCTTGAACTTAAAGTAAATTTTCCATTGTTTTTGCGCATTTGTAGCATAGCGGTTTACCACTTTCATTTTTACCACCAAACTGTTACATTAAACACTGAAGATATTGTGTAGTTGGTATAGGTCTATGTTGGCACTTCGCCTTATAAAGTCTTACTGTCAACAAATTATTTTTTCCGCCTCACCCAGTATATAAATTAAATTAATTCTGCTTTAGGAAAATTCATACTAAATTTTTTAAATAAATTACTGACAACACAATAAATTTTATGACTTTATTTACTCAGCTGTCAGATAAAAATTTGACAAGGTCATTTTGTCAAGACAAACTAATGTTATACCAATAGTCTTTGACGAAAAGAAGGATAAACATCGGAAAAATCAAAATAAATCGCAAAGTATCAAAAATGGAAAACAGATATATGCGATACTTAATAAAAGTTGTAGGTTTTTGTAAGATCTTTTAGAAAAAATAATTATCTAGGTATATGGGGGACCATTTAAGAAAATCGAGATTGTTGAATTTAAAATGATCCGCATATATTCGTTTATTTTGAACAGCCTGTAGCATCTAGTTAAAATTCCGTTGCATATATCTTTTACGTCATCTTAATAATACAAGTGTTAAAACTATTATTTTCTTAGTAAAATTAAAATGTTGGAAAAACGATTAGGTTTAGGTATGTATTATTGATAAAACAGTTGAAGAACTTTAAAAACAAAATAAAAATACTAAAAATTGGGTGTTCCGTTTTATGTTTTATGCGTCGCGCTTTCTTGAGATACCCTACATACTTTAAAATAATTTTAAATTGTAGACCCTAACAATCTTACAACTTTTGTATTGTATTTACAATTTTCTCATAACTTTATCGTTGACTCACTCTGTACGGCTCAAAGTTTTTTTTCAAAGAAGCTTTCACACACTCCTGTAATACTATTTAGAAAACTTCTGGATTCTTATTGCGCCGGTTGATTTTTTACTAATAGGGAACTGGGTATGGCCAAACTTATGAACATATGAAGAAAAACTCTGGGTCATTCCTCGTATTTGTTCATAATATTTACAAGAAAAACATATTCCTGACAAGCACTATTCAATTAAGACGGGAAAATTTGAATCTAGAACCAATATGGGAATCAATCATCCGAGACAACGTTCATGCCCCTGCTTTAGGTCCGCCCCACTCAAAAAAAAAAAAATTAAGCAAGTACAGAGGCGAATGGTCACCAGTTGCAGGTAAGTTCTGAAGAATCCAAAAAGTTGATAAGGGAAACATCAGCAAGTTTAGTTCATCAACAAACTACGCAAGAGGAATCCACTTTTCTTCTTGAGTCTGTTTTTACTTAAAACTCTTAAACTTTTTCTTTGGGAGAAATATATAGATTATGCAATCTCAGATACATCTTCATTTCTTTCAGGGTTACAATGGAAAAATTCAACTAGCTTTCGACAAAGAAAAGGTGATCGATGACATTATGCATGGAAGGCCAGTTTTCTACAGGGTCCTCTTCCCCATGTGGAACCGGATACCACCCAAAGTTACCAAAATTTTAGTCAATGGTTATTTGATTTGTACGGGTTCACCTATTCCTAGTAAGCTAGCGGCAATATTGGTTCGTTATAAAATAAGATCTTTAATTTTTTTTTAATATTTCATTCAGAGCAACTTTCTTTTCGGCCGTGAGTATAACAAACCTTATCAATCAGGTTTCAAAGCATCTGTTCAGGTTTTGATGATCTGAACTATATCAATGAAGTGTACCTTTTTCTCATAACAGAACAAAGCTTTTCCGATTTTATAAGTTACGCCGCGGACTAAGATTTCACGTTTATAATTTTAGAATCAACAATTCAGCTTGCCAAAATGACTGAAACGCAAAAATTTCTAATCTTTGTATAGAATGAAGATTGTATGATTCCATACTGTCTGCCTTTGGTATGTGCATTCGGTATGGTCTGTTCATAGATATAAGAAAGTGACCAATTGTTTTGAATGGGATTATCCTAGAGTGGTCATTAACATACAATGCAACAAGAGTATTACCTAAAGTTTCGTAATTTAAATTTAGGTAAAATTGTGGTCCGTAATAGGAAATAATTTTATACCTACCTGTGTCTAATATTCTTTAGTTTGGTATACTATTTAGTTTAAGTTTATTAGTAATCATTCTTATTTCGTGTGTAACACAGTGTGTTTCGAATCGTGTGCGAATTATGCAAAATATGTGCGAGTCTAGTGTATCTCAGGAGATGCTCCCGCCCAAATGTAGAAAACACTATTCTATTGAGACTAAAGAATTTATAAACAATGTTTATTTGAATCTCATTGAACGTGGTGCCAGCAAGCAAGCATCTTTAGAAGAAACGGCCACATTGACGAAAATTCCAACATCAACTTTATGGAAAATTGTGACTAATCCCATTTCAACGAGGAAAAAAAGAAGCGATGCTGACATTTTTTCGAGTGTAGATGAAAGTGATCAAGATATAATACGGCGTAAAATTTACCAGTTATACGAGGAACAAAGCGTGCCTACATTAGATATCTTAATTAGGAGGCTTGAAAAAGATGAAACCGGTGTTAAATGTGGCAGAACTACTTTATGGAAGTGTATTCAACATATGGGTTTTAGATTGAAAAAAATTGACAAAATTCAAGTTTTCATGGAATCTTTTAGAATTCGAAAGTGGCGACTGGAATATCTAGAAAAAATTAGGATTTACAGAGAAAAACAAAGGCCATTCATTTACTTGGATGAAACCTGGTTCGACACTTATGATACCCCGGAAAAGGGTTGGGTTGGCTCAGCTGATAAGTGTAAAACAAACGCCCCATCAAAAAGAGGTAAAAGAATAACTATTTTGCATGCTGGCTCTAAAGATGGTTGGATACCAAATGGACTTTCTTTGTCTGCGAAAAATATTAAAGATTCTTCTCTGGATTACCATGAAGACACCACCGCTGATTTATTTGAAAGTTGCTTTAAAAACAATCTAGTTCCAAGCATTCCTCCTAATAGCGTCGTTGTAATGGACAATGCAAGTTATCGCTGTAGACAGTTGACTAAAACCCCTTCCTCGTGACACAAAAGCAACAATCCAAAACTACATGTATAATAACGACACTTATTTTCACGAGGATTATATCAAAAAGCAATTAATTGAGGTTCTACAAAGCTTGAACCTACAAAAGGAATACGTCTATGATAATTATGCAAAAAATCTAGGACATACAGTTTTAAGGCTTCCAACTTACCATTGTATATTTAATCCCATTGAACATTCGTCGTAACAATGTTTTTCCCCGTGTTAAGTACGGACCTGTTCGGCCATATTTCATTCTTACAGCTTGCCCTGGTCTTTCCTTAATTCGTATCAGTTAGTAACTTTCTTATATCTATGAACAGACTTTACCCACCAGTTTCACGGTAATTTAGATATCTCGGAAACTTATTTTAGACCTTTTCGATATTCTACTTATGAGTTTCATAACAAGGATTCCATTAAAAGAACAATATTCTCTACCTACCTCTCTACCTATTATATCATTTATATTTTCCCCGAAAAAGTTACACCAAGGATTCCGTATCTCCACAATTTTAAATTCACTTGTTTCTTCTTGCCACTCAAGCATCAAATATGTCACCGTGGATGTAATGCTTGTTCAAGTTTTAGACAGTCAATGTAATTTTTAATTATAGCATAAAGTTCTAGATCATGAGTATATGAAAATATTTTGGAATCATATACCAACAATCAATAATAAAAAAAGAAAAAGCAATGGGCCAAGATTCCTGTGGAACACCTGACGTTGTTTAATAATAGTCAGAGTATTAACCGCTTGCAACAACTCCCTGTGGTCTCATATACAAATATGATTCTTTCTATTCCCTTCTGTAAAATAGTTAATTATACCCCGATCTAGCGTGCGGGAAGTGTCACTTTACCACGTGATTTTCTTGTATCATGCATCCGAGCCACTTCGGACATTTCCGGGATAACACCGCACGGGTTTGGGAGCAATCGGATGTTTCGGAGATTTTACCGCACGGCTTGAATTTTGACGTTTGTCAATTCTGACGGTCATGTCAGAGAAGGTATTCGTGCTGTTTTGCACAAATCCACCCAAAAACCAAGGGTCGTAGAAAAATTATAGCATGCAACACGTTTGGTAAAATTTTTAAGTCACTCGTCCTTAAACACTCACTTCGCTGCGCCCCGCTCGTGCCAAATAACGCGTGACTCAAATGCCGTTTACTACACTTATTGCATAATAAGACATTTAACCAGATTATTATGAAAAACAAAATTGTTAAATAATTTTTGCTGAATGGCATTATGTGACATTGTCGAACGCTTCAGCAAAATCTGGATAAATAACATCAACTTGACTTTTGTTGCCCAATCGGTCAGCAATATATTGAGTAATTTCACAAAGATTTGTAGATGTAGAATTTTTATTAAAAATTTATTCAAATATTTTAGCATGTCAAGAACTGGAGTTCTTAATATCAACAGCATCAACTTTTTTAAGGAATTGTGTTTGTTTTTAATGAGAAGATAAATAAAATCCTAAGCTGTTCAGCAAAAAAAAATACAATTATACCTTTAAGGCTAAAACTGACTGCATTAAATTGACTTGCCCTTTCCAGTTGCTTTGGTGCCCATATTGACTACCATTAATCTCCAACACAAGCTGCGGATAGATGTGATGCCTTTGTTTTCATCGCCCGAGCCCGCTGTTGCCAGTAGACCAAGTTCATTTGACAATGTCGCATCTGGCGATTCCGACGTCGGTAATTATGCACCAACAACCAAATGTGACGGAACAATTGATAGATTTTGATTTTTCAGCTGAACCGACAAATTTCGATATCAGACGATACGACGCGGCTTTCAGCAACGAAAACCCGTCCAACACGAACTCTTTAAATAAGAGGGAGAATACGGAGAACCCGTTTTTAAGCAATAACAAGAACCCGTTCAATTTTAACCCCCCCTCTCGAGCCGATCCCGGCAAAGCTTTCCCTGGAAATCCTTTTTTTACGGCACTGTCCACGCCGTTACCTTCTAGAAGTCCCGAAATCGAAAATGTTTCCCAAGACGGTACTATAATTAGATTGAGATTGAAAGCGAATACCAATTTTTTATTTTAGAGTTTCAAGTATTTATACCCAGAACATCAGAGGCACCCATGAGGTCTGAAGCAAACGTTCCCCAGAGGGCTTTTGAATTTAAACCTCCTTCTAGAGAGACAAAGTGAGTCGACCTATTTTTAGAGTTAATAAATAGTTTTATTGCTTTAACGTTAACAAAATTTTACACCGAATTAAATTTAGTAGCAAGGGGCCAAGAAAATCAGACATCTGACCCCAGCCAAGGACTGTTAAAGCCCAAAATTTGACATTAAACTTAACTTTGCATAATATAAACATATACAGCATCAATTAAATTGTACAAGCTATCTTAGCTATAAGGTAGCTTGTAGACAGGTGTAATTAAATATGCACTAAAAGTAAAGGGTTCATTAATTTTCTAGTTATGAATTCTCGCAGAATTTGTAAATTGTTTTTCTAATCTTGTTGTTTAGAAAAGTCGAGGATCGTGTTTGCAAGGGTCTAGGAAGAAATCGCGAAAACCATGCGATCGAAAAAGTTATTGGACGAAAATATCCGCGAGATCCAGTGCCATGAATCTTGGTAATTTAGAAAAATATACATGGTGTGCCCGGTATTCGCAAAAAATTAAAAGTTATGTTACTCCTTTAACAAAAATTGGCTATAACTAGGAATCTAGAAATCTATCGCTGTCTTTGAATGGTAATCGCCGCCAGTATGTTTGAGTTTTGTCTACTTGTCCACTATTTGATTGCATATCGCGCCGGTTGGCGTGATCTGTGGATTTATTGGTGGTGTCATCGCTTTCCTCCTTGCCAGGAGGTTGGCTTTTTTATCACCTTCTAGTCCGCTATGTCATAGTATCCACATCAGTGCTACCTTATTACGGCACCTTAACATGCATGATTTACGTTGAACCAAATGACACCATTTTTAGTTTGGGAATGTGGAAGTAATTCTGCGCTACGTTGAATTGTTTAGTTCTTATAGGTGTCTAAAATAGACAAAGTGCATCAAAAGTAAACCCAAGTGTCAATAATTCAAAAACATTTAACAATAGAAGCAATAACCAACACAATTAACCATTAACAAAGCAATAACAACAAATATTAATAAAAAACACATTGTCAGGTCCTTTTTTATTCTTCAAATTTGAAATACATATTGCATTGCTTAGGTTGTTGGTTGTTCAATAATAGCAACATTTTTAAAATTTAACATAAAAAACATATTTCTGATAGTAGGATAATTTTTTCATATTTTGTTTTTGTTATAAGACATAAAATCATATATATATATATATATATATATATATATATATATATATATATATATATATATATATATATATATATATATATATATATATATATATATATATGATGACACTATACTCCGGGATATCATCCGTTCGCTCGTTGAACTCCGACTGGAATCCTGCATCCGGCTGGAATCCTGCAAATCCTGCATCCGACTGGAATCCTGCAGACGTTTCGCCAAAATCTCACTTGGCATCTTCAATGCTCGCGCTCCGCGATTCCAGTCGGATGCAGGATTCCAGTCGGAGTTCAACGAGCGAACGGATGATATCCCGGAGTATAGTGTCATCACATTTTTCCATCCGTGAATCAATACGTGAGAATATATATATATATATATATATATATATATATATATATATATATATATATATATATATATAGCTTCCGCCCATGGATACAGGCTTCATCAGGACACTAAGTCATATAGAGAACAAAAAAAAACACTTCATCAGAGTTAACAATCTAACCAAAAAATAGTGAAAAAAACTTACACAACACGCCTCTTTCAACCTCTACATATAGAGAGATGACATTGGTATATAAAATAAAGTGTTTCGCCCGTTCTAACTATCAACATAACACTCGTTGGATGAAATTTATGGAAAAAATTTTACAATTGTAAAAAATATTAACATCCACCACAACGTTACAAAACAATCCAACTAACATAAAACGTTAAGGTCAATAAAATATCTGGATTGATAAAATATTAAAAGATGAAAAAAAATAGCCGATTTGTTACAAATGACACTCCGTATTGTCGAGAAGGAAAACTAAATGTGCGGGAACTTATTAACAATTCGCAATAACCTAAAAAAGCCACAACCAAAAAACCAGTCAATGATACCAACTGTACAGCCAACCACAACATATGTAAAACACGAAACAAGGGAGGGAATTTCAAACAGAATTCTTTCAAATATGCACCCATTGTACACTATTTATATAACTATGTTTACGTTATTGAAGTTAACGTTAAGGGTAATTAGAAACAATCCTTTAGGACGGGGAGAAAGAAACAAAGAAAGAAAACTGTTTTTAAACATTAATAGCAACAAATTTAGCAACCCACTACAACCTGACCGTATCAAAAAACTCTGGTAGCTTATGCTTCGCAGTACGACTCTGATTAAGAAGATAGGTGTAGATGCTACTAAGACCCTCAACATCCTTCTTTCTGTTGAGGCTATTACTACAACAGTTAATATAACACATCTCTAAAAACTTACGTTTGAAGAGGTTCTTTTCACTCTTTAATACTACCGCTTCATCGTACATGACACTATGTCCGGTATCATTGACATGAGCACTTAAACTAGTAATATTTGGTTTTAACTTACAATCACTTTTATGAAGTGTTAGCCGTTTTTTTAACTTCTGTGAAGTATGACCAATGTAAATTAAATTGCAAGAGCATTTAATGCAATATACAACGTCTGATTTATGTAACGATGGGGTAATGTCTTTAAGATTGGAATAGAAAGATTTGAGGGGTCTTAAGTTGTAATTGGCAATTTTTATATTAGTATCTTTAAAGATCCTAATCAGAGCCGGGGACAATCTATCTATATACTGTAGTTTGCCAAAACTAGGCAACTCATTATTAACATTAAGCTGTGGTTGTAAAGCATTAGGCAGGTCTGTAGTGGCACTATTACAGGAGAGAATTTTATTTATTAACGATGGTGGGTATTTATTATTAATTAGTAGGTTCCTTAATAACAATAAGTTCTTATTTAACAGACTATGGTGACAAATTTTTTTAATGCGATCAGTCAATGCTACAATCATATTGATCTTTTGTTTTTTTAGGGTGATACGATGTGAAGGGAATGTATCTACCGGACCTAGTATTGCTCCCTTTACGGCGATCCATCGAAGTTGGGGTGATCCCAATAATTAACAGTTTGTTTGTATATATATATATATATATATATATATATATATATATATATATATATATATATATATATATATATATATATATATATATATATATATATATATATATATATATATATATATATATATATATATATATATATATATATATATATATATATATATATATATATATATATATGACACTATATTCCGGGATATCATCCGTTCGCTCGTTGAACTCCGACTGGAATCCTGCATCCGACTGGAATCCTGCAAATCTTGCATCCGACTGGAATCCTGCAGACGTTTCGCCAAAATCTCACTTGGCATCTTCAATGCTCGCGCTCCGAAAACACTTCGAACACTCGAACACTTCGAACTCGGAGCGCGAGCATTGAAGATGCCAAGTGAGATTTTGGCGAAACGTCTGCAGGATTCCAGTCGGATGCAAGATTTGCAGGATTCCAGTCGGATGCAGGATTCCAGTCGGAGTTCAACGAGCGAACGGATGATATCCCGGAATATAGTGTCATCACATTTTTCCATCCGTGAATCAATACGTGAGAATATATATATATATATATATATATATATATATATATATATATATATATATATATATATATATATATATATATATATATATATATATATATATATATATATATATATATATATATATATATATATATATATATATATATATATATATATATATATATATATATATATATATATATATATATATATATATATATATATATATATATATATATATATATATATATATATAAAGACTCGTTTTTGACACCCAGTATACCAATATATACATATTTCATTTTGTACCCATTTTGAACTGTAATAACTGTTAATAATTACATCTGATACCTAATGCCTTTACAATAAACAAAGATAAATTAGAACTATAAAAGGAATTACGGTGGTATCTTAGCTCTTCGGTTTACCCTGCATTGACTTTCCTATATAACCTATATCGAGTATTTAATTTTCTTTGTGCCGTACACGAGTTTATTCAAAAATCGGTTCCATGTCATTTCAGTTTCAACAATAACAAAACAAAGTATGGCGATGTTTGTGGTCGTCCCATCGCGACCAATTCTCTCATTGTTAACGGAAATCGGGTTCCCAGGGGCGCCTACCCTTGGCTGGTGGCGATATTCGTCGTGAAGGCTACAGGACTCAACTATATTTGCAGCGGATCTCTTATTTCCGACAGACATATTGTGACAGGTGAGTCAAGAATGGTACTATGTACCGGGCGATTATTGATAATGCCCTCCCGCCCTTTAATTTGTTTGTTTAACGTTTGGGAAAAAAATTATTCAAAAAAATAGGATGTTGCAGAAACCACTCAAAAATAAAAGTTATATATTTTTAACACCCTGTAAGATTAATAAAAACCCCTAAAAATTCTGTGATATATGCGCTTTTAACATATTAGCAACATTCAAAAATAAAATAATATTCTAGATTTTATAATTAATATCTTAGGTAGCTGTGAAGTAGATCGTCACCAAACAACAAAATGTTTGTAACTGACAGTGACTAGTACAGATTTAGCAAAACTATGCTCCTTTCATCATATATAAAACGGCTTATTCGCAGAGGGAAAAATAATGTATTTTGGAAATGTTTATTAAACCAAATAAGAGGGCTACATGTAATTAACCCTCGATTTAACTTTTCAGACAATAAAAAACTTTCACCGAAGTATTCAACTAGTTCCCCAATTTCTTCAATACATCTGAGGTGTGTTCTCCGTAATCTTTCTAAAACGGTGTTCGATGGTATTTGCGTTTACACGATCGTTTAAGAGTTCCCCATAAAAATGCATCCGTCGGGGTCAGGTCAGGACTGTTGGATAGCCATTTTATTTTCCATCCAACATTACCGTTTAAATTAACTAAAAAATGAGGATCTATTACCCTGGACATCTATCTGCTGTTTTTTCATTTATCATAACACGGGTTGAAAACAATGACTCGTCGGCCCAAAAAACATTTTTTAAATAAGCATAATTTCCGTTAATGTTTTCGAACATTGTATGACAAAGCTTAACTTTTTTTGGGCATTAATATTATATTACGCCTAATTTCGAATGCCTTCAATAATGATTTTTTTGAGACTAGTTTGAATCTTCCCGTGTGATCTATTTTGTTATCAATAAACTTTTCTTTCGGGCTTTCTAATATTTTTCTTATGGAAATATTAGAATTTTCTTCAACTTTTAGTAAGTCCTTAAATCACCATCAGTTTTTATCCTTATTTGGTTTAACAAACGTTTCTAAAAATTATTGTTTTTTTCTCTGCGAATAGGGCATTTTATATATGATAAAAGGAGCTAAATCTGTACTTGCCACTGTCAGCTATAAACAAACATTTTGTCTTTTGGTGATGACTTACTTCACAGCCACCTATGAAGCTAAACCATATATAAAATGCATATCTGCATTCTTTTTTAGAATAACAATGCTCGGATATTTTAAACACCAAATTAATAAGACTGATGTCAAGCAACTGAAGAACAATCGTCTTGACAACAGAATCAATAATTCTTACAGATACAGCCTAAATAATTATAAAGATTTCAAAAATACATGTCAGAGTTTACGTACTTTATATTCGCACTTCGATTTTTTGAAGTATTCTAATAAAACAGAAAATTACCTAAATAAGAAATGATAATGATAATAACGATATTGTTATGATCATGCAGAGAAGCACAGCTGCAGCTTGTTTGGTCATACTATACTGCATTTCTATTTAAAAAAAAAAGAAATCTGGCATTCAGAACTGAGGTATCCAATTTCTTGTTTTTAGGATCCGATAATGCAGCTTTCAATTTTGCTTTCACTGCTTTGCTTTGCTTTGCTTTGCTTTCACTGAGTTTACTGCCTGTCTGTTCTTTGGCTATAACCCACCGAAATTGTTACCAATTTCATTCCATTTTTCTTAAAAAATATTGTTTTTTTTTTGTTCGACAACTGGTAAACCATTATCAGAAACACCCACTTTGGATATTCCAAACATCGAAAATATTTCTTCTGTATTCTGCTCAGATATTTTATTCCTTTGATGAATTATTGAATACTTACCATGTTGTTAAATTTCAAAAAATCTATATGAATTCTTTTCCATACTTAGGGGGATCCCATGGTGTTAATGGAGTTTTAGGTAGACTTTGCCTAATCTGCAAACAAGGTACACATCTGGATACAATCCCCTCAATGTCCGATTCCCCGCTATTACATATACGACCTTGCCCAACTTTTTAGTTGCTGAAATGACTCATCCTTTTTTTTACAAATATGCTCAACTCAACGAAATTGAAGTTTTCTCCTTTGACTTCTAATTCTGGGTCATTTAATTTAACTTTTAATGGAGGTCTTGACCGGAAATCACTAAAACTATTATTCCATCCTTGTACATACTTTATTTTATACAAAAAATCATCAATCAAAAAGCAAATAAAAAACATTGGTTTATATATATATATATATATATATATATATATATATATATATATATATATATATATATATATATATATATATATATATATATATATATATATATATATATATATATATATATATATATATATATATATATATATATATATATATATATATATATATATATATATATATATATATATATATATATATATTCCTAGTCTTAAAATCAGGAATATTAGCTATTTGTTTGCAAGTACCGAAATCAATTTTATGGCCTGTCTGATGTTGGTGCTGAAACAAAGCAGATGTTGTTTGTTTGTTTCTTATGGCTAAACGATGTTCCTCGAGCCTGGCTGAAATCCTTCTGTTGGTCTGTCCCACATACGTGAGGCTGCACGATCCGCATGCTACACTGTAAACTCCTTGGTTTTCCAGAGTAATTTTTTGTTTTGGGTTTCTTAGTATTGCTCCGATGGTATGATCAGGTTTGTATGCCGTTGATATGTCGTGTTTCCGTAATATTCGGCCGATTTTGTCAGTAACCCCTTTGATGTATGGCAGGACAGCGATCGATCTTCGTTGGGTCTCGTCCAGCACTCTCTTCTAAGGCTGTTGTTGTTTACCGATTGCATTGCTGATGATGCGCCTTTGGTATCCGTTTTGTCGAAGACAGGTACTAATTTTTTTCAGTTCCTCATCTCTGTTCCTCTCGTTTGTGAGCCTGAAGGACCGAGCAATTAATGTATTTGCCACTGCCTGTATCTGTGATGGGTGGTGATGAGATTTAGCGTTCAGATATGTATTAGTGTGTGTTGGTTTTCTATAGACAGTGTGTTCCAAATGTCCATCTTCGGTCCTTGTGATGTGCACATCTAAAAAGGACAGACTGTTATCCTCTTCAAGTTCTATTGTAAATTGAATCCTCGGGTGAATGGAATTCAGATGATCTAGGAATTTCAAAAGCTCCTCCTTGCCAAAAGGCCATACAACAAATACGTCATCAACGTATCTTGTCCATAGCTTTGGCTTCAGATTTGCCTTCTCTATTGCTTTCTTTTCGAAGTAAATCATGAAGAGGTTGGCAATCACAGGTGAGAGAGATGATCCCATTGCTGCTCCATCTATTTGTCGGTAAATTTTCCCGTTGTACATAAAGTAAGCGTTTTTCAGGCAATGTCTTGACAGATCTATTATGTACGGCGGAAGATCTTCGTTTTCTTCTATAAGCAAGAGTGTCTCTTCTACTGGAATGCTCGGGTAGAGGGATTTGACATCGAAACTTGCCATAATATCGTCCTTGTCCATCCTGAGAGAACCTAAAATCTGAGTGAAATGTTCTGAGATTTTAACATAGGAATCTGCCTTTTCCACTATGGGCTGAAGTGCACTGGCCAGATGTTTTTCCAGCTTGTATAATGGTGAGTTAAAGGCGCTTACGATTGGACGCAGGGGAACCCCGTCCTTATGGATCTTTGGGAGCCCGTAGAATTTTGGGCAACGACTCGATTTTTCCCTCGGAATAAGTTTCTTCTTTGTATCCTCGTTTATTGATGAATCGAGAATTTTGAACTTAGTTGTTTTTTCCAAATATGTCGTAGGTTCTCTGGTGACTAGCTTGTATATTGGGTCGTTCAAGATATCCTCCAATTTTGCATTATAATCCAACGTATTCATGACGACAGTGGCATTTCCTTTGTCTGCTGGCATTATTAGAATATCTTCGTTTTTGTTTAGATTCCTTAAGGCTTGCATTTCTTCTCTGCTTAAGTTTGGTTGCGGTGGTTTTGACTGTCTTAAGACTCTGGCGACATCTTGCCTAATTAATTCCGCATCTTGTTCGTCTATGGTGGAAAGACTTGCTTCGACGTTGGAAACGATCTATTCTACGGGTACTCTTTTTGGAGCTATTGCATAGTTAAATCCTTTATTCAGTACGCTGACTTCTGTATCGGAAAGATGGTATGCTGAAATATTATGAACTGTACTGCTTCGGTTTGTATTTGGCACTTGTCCTGATTTTTTGGAATTTGACTGAAGGATTTCTAATTTCTTAAACAGTGGATGATATCCCGGAATATAGTGTCATCATTATATATATATATATATATATATATATATATATATATATATATATATATATATATATATATATATATATATAGAAAACCGAACTGGAAACTTCTTGACACTTCTTAACCGAAAACTTTTTTAATGGAACGTAAATATGGAAACGTTGATAATATCCTCAAGTGTTTTGGTAAAAAATAACTTGTGCCATTCGAACTGCCACAATAACTCAGTCAGTGTACCCAAGTCCATTGATTTAAAATCATTGCAAGGAAAAGGTGATAGGTGATAAAAGTCTATTGGCAGTAGAGCACTATTCGCCTCAACTATTAACATTCCGCCATCCTGTGCGAACACTAGGTCCAGAAGGTTGTCGTTAACGTTCCTGACTGAGTTTATCTGAAAGAGGTTGTGGTAGAAGCATAGGTAAGATTAGTGGATTCGATCTAACTCTGCGTGCTTCCGGCCAGAGGGATTGCAACTTAGGATAATTCTTCCTTGGTCAACCAACTGGTAGGCAGCTTGAAATCGCCTAGGGCGCACAACTTATCACTAGAGTATTCTTCAACCAGCCTTTCCAGATTTTGTCCAAATTCTGCATTATTTTGAAAGGAACACTCCGGTGCTGTAGGCAGTATAAATTTGTTGCTTTTCAGATTGTGTATAGAACCTCTATACACCTTCGTGTGTGGACTGTATCTTGCT